ACAGCTTTGCCATTTTTAAAAGAATAAATACACCCCCTAAGTGCGGAGATCTGCATCATATTATGTCCTCTTCTGATCTAATATTCTTAACTTATAGTGTTGGGGAATGTTACAAAGACAACAAATAGAAACTGACATTTCAAACATATTACAAACATTACAGGTATTAATCAGAATGTTTGCATGAATTCTGAGACATTCGCACTTATATATTTTATAAACAGAATAAATCCCCTAGACTGCATTTACCTTTCTGTGATATTGAAATCTTGGACAGCAATGGCCTTTTTCTTCAGACATGGCAGATACCAAGTTTTAAACAAGTGAATGACTTCACCTTTTCCCAGGTCAGACTTTACTTATTTTGTCATCACATATTGCATATGAATCAGTTCTAGGCTCCTTCCAATCTTCACAAAGGTTATCTTGTTTGCCTAACAGCAAAATTTTATTGGTTACACCTTTAAAATTATTGGGATGTGCCTAATTTGGGGTGGTTTTGGCTGAAAATGGCTTCTTATGTAGAGCTCCCCCCAAAGGAGCAACTGCATTTCAAGCCTATTTCCCTCTTACAGCATCCACAGCTTACACACATTTCCAGATGGTTTAATGGGGTTTTGGTGTTTATTTTAGGAACCATGAACTTAGATGGGAAATGGGGTTCATGGGATACCCCAAGCTGAAGCAACACTGTATACAACAGCTGAGGGCCTGCCAAGTCTCTGGCTGCTCTAATTCAGTATGCAAGCTGTACTGCACAACTGTGGGAGCAGAAGTGCAGAACAAAAAAAGAAGTAACAGTTTCTCTGTATTAAAGACATAGTACCTGGTGGTATTGCACACAGCACCTGGCTGCTCTAGTCCCTTGGTTGGAGAATTAGAATGCTCCTGGCAGTATTGCACAGCACCTGGCTGCTCTAGTCCCTTGGTTGGAGAATTAGCATGCTCCTGGCGGTCTTGCACTGCACTTGAGCTGCACTCTCTCCCATATACCTGAAGTATTATACTGACTGTCCTCTTCCTCCCTTAGGGGTGATGGCTGGTTTGTTGCTCGCTCAGTCCCTTAAGAAACTTCCAGGATCCAGAATAGCTGTTGTCTTGGCCTCCGCTGGACAGGCTTCTTCTGGCTTGGCTGTGGGTCTAGAGCTAGGCTTATCTGAGACCTAAGCTGGCTGAATTCCTGGAGCACTCCTGTTCCCCATCTCTCTCTCCCTTCTTTGTGCACAGGGATCCCTGCAGATGACTGCACCCTGGACTCCCAGACTTCCAGGCTTCTGAGTATTTATGGGTTGCTTTCCCATCTTCTGGGTATGCCTCCCTGGTGATTAGTGGAAGGCCCATAAATATTCAGGCTGCTAGCCCTGCTCTCCCTCCCACTATGTTCTGGAACACTCCGGAAGACGGAGAAGTGACAGGCCAGCAACGTGTGAAGCTCTGCACAGCCCCCTAAACAATTAACCCCCTGCACCTCTGCCTACAGAGGGGATAAACTAAATTTACCTACATTCTAGCATCCTAAGAGGTACTACACTTGGTATGCACAACATTATAATGTACTGTACGTTATACTGTTTTATTAAAAATATAGTGCAGCGCTGTAATATAGATATGTCAATGGATATGTAAACAAATAAGTGAGCATAAAGTTCATAAAATCTTCATAAATGCGAAAAAAAAACTCTTGTGGAAAAACTTGCAGTGAAAATCTTCTCTATATCAAAATAGGTGACTGGAACCGTATAGATAAAATGCGCACTCACGACCGCGCATTAAATATGCGCATGTATATGACCCTCTATCAGGTAATCAGCCAGACACACGGACCATCCGTCCCAGGTGGATCATCAGCCTTGGGTGTAGTGATATGTAGCAAGGTCCAGAGAACACTCAAAGCGCGGGGTGGATGAGCTCCCTCTTCTGGATACAAGATGCACTAGGAACCAGCTGCTATAGATCTGAAACCCTCGAAGAGAGGGTTAAAAACAGAGAGGGAGTGCCAATAGTGTAGTAGGTTCAAACGAATTTATTAGGTCACAGATAGAGTAACAACCAGGGGTACATGTATACATATACTGCCAGTATTAGAGCAATAAAAGAACATGTACTGACCCGGCACAGTAAGAAGCCGCCGGACCTCCTCGTGGTCACGGCGGTGCAGAAAGTCACACGTGCTGTTGGCTCCTCCTGAGGCCTTTCGTGCTACGGCACATCATCAGAGGGGGGATGCCATCTCACTTATTTGTTTACATATCCATTGACATATCTATATTACAGCGCTGCACTATATTTTTAATACTTATGATAAGAGGTCTGGTGATTCCTTGGAGTGTTCTAGCAGCTGATTATAATGAGCGCTCGCTATATTCCTTTTAATTATAATGTTTTATTAACTGGAGCATTTTAACTCATAAAATGGTCTTATGTGAGTAATCTTGCTTGCTCAACTGTGTATTTTTATGGTTACACCTTTACCATGTGTAGCACTTGCCTCCAAAGGAGTTGCTGATAATAGGGTTCTTCTCTTATCTCTTCCCTCCTCCTTTATCTTCTATCCTTATCTCTCCCATAATGACCCATCAAAACTACTCAATACTCACTTCAGAACTTTATGGAGTTTGACAGGCTTTAATAAACAGCAAAAGCCCATTAAAGGGGTAAATAAAATGGTAAATTATTACAACAATGACAAGGTTAACAAGCAAAGTTGGAACAAAGTAGAGACATAATATCTAAAAATGCTAATGAGCACACTGAAATGTGATGGGGAAATATTGCAGCAAACTTAACAGCAAATTATAGTAACACTGTTTACCACTGTAAGGCAAACCAGCATATCTGACACTAAAAGGGTATTTACCCTCAATGACCCAGTTTTAGTATACAGTTCCTCCATACTCCACTGGCTGTTGGCATGCTCAGGGGGCCAAAGTTCTGAGTTGAAGAGATCAAATAAACTTGTAATCCCAAAAATTGTAAACACTTTCTAGCAGAACAGGCAACAATGAAGTCTGTAGCCAAGAGGCCTCTCACCAGTCCTGTCATCTTCAGGGCACACACTGTTGTCTGGTGAGAGGTCTACAGGCCTATCTCTAAAGCCTCTTTCCCTGGTATGTAGAAGGTCTGGGGCCATGTTTTGAACAGTATGCTCAGAAGCCACTTGATCTGGATAAAATATACCCTGGAATCACAGGATCTGCTCTGTTCCAAAGCAGCAGGAGTCCTTGATGCAGTAACAGTGGTCATCCTGGACGCATGCACATCCAGATATTGAACTAACATTTAAATATGTTAAGGACAAGCTTTTGGATGAATATAAGCTCTAAACAGAAAGCATTATTACTGCTTTAAAGACAAAAAATAGGAATAAAAACAGTAACTTGCAACAAGAAACACATTAATGTTTTGTGTGCAAGAAAAAAGGCCATTTAAGACCATATTGCAGAATCTGGAAAGCTGGAATGCAAAAACAAACTAAACTTCAAAAGGCCAAAATTACAGATAAACTGTTTCAGCCAGGGGCGGACTGACCATTTGGAAACTCAGGCACTGCCCGGGTCAGCAGGGGGCCCCATGAGATGCCCCTGGTACCTTTTGCATAGGCTTTTTTGAGTTTGGGCAAGGACACAGGGGCCCCATGATCCCCTATTGCCCGGGGGCCCCATGAGTTGTCAGTCCGCCCCTGGTTTCAGCTGAACTGTAAAGAGTTGGTTAATACTGCCAATGAGGAAAACCATTCAAACTGCATTCACACATGTCACAGACACCTTGGGCACAAACTTCCTTACATAATAAAGAAATTAACTGAGAATAACTATGCAAGTGAAAAAAAAATAAACCCATGTGATCAAACAATGAAGTGTACAGCTGTATAAACAGTAACATGACAAGAAAAGCCTTTCCAAAGCAGAGTAACAGCAGAGCTAAAAAAAAAAAAAACCCTCCTAATTCATTCAGTTCTTTGCGGTCCAATGAAAAAAGTGATTCCAGGAAAGAAGAGGTATTTTCTCACTTTTATAGATGATTACTCAACAAAAGTGAAGCACCAGAGAAACTTGAACGGTATTTGGCTCATGTAAGCAACAAATCTGGCAAACTGCTGAGTTTATTGAGAACAGACAATGGAACTGAATATGCAGGTGATAACACATAGGTGATTCTCAGAAAGCATGGCAAAATATTTCACACTACTGTACCATACAACCCAGAACAAAATGGGGTTGCAGAAAGAATGAACTATACTCTATATGAGAGCAGAAAAACCATGCTGTTTGATGCAGATATGCCAAACACATACGGGGGGGGGGGGGGGGGGGGAGTGGAAATGATGACCGCATGCTACACTATATTGCCAAAAGTATTGGGATGCATGCCTTTACACACACATGAACTTTAATAGCATCCAGTCTTAGTCTGTATGGTTCAATATTGACTTGGCCTACCCTTTGCAGCTATAACAGCTTCACATCGTCTGGGAAGGTTGTCCACAAGGTTTAGGAGAGTATATATGGGAATGTTTGACCAGTCTTCTAGAAGTGCATTGATGTCAGAGGAGAAGGCCTGGCTTGCAGTCTCCTCCCTAATACATCCCAAAGGTGTTCTATCGGGTTGAGGTCAGGACTCTGTACAGGCCAGTCAAGTTCCTCTACCCCAAACTTTCTCATCCATGTCTTTTTGGACCTTGCTTTGTGCACTGGTGCGCAGTCTTGTTGGAACAGGAAGAGGTCATCCCCAAACTGTTCCCACAAAGTTGGAAGCATGAAATTGTCCGAAATGTCTTGGTATGCTGATGCCTTAGGAGTTCCTTTCACTGGAACTAAGGGACCAAGCCCAACCCCTGAAAAACAACCCACAACATAATCTCCCCTCCACCAAACTTTACACTTGGCACAATGCAGTCAGGCAAGTACTGTTCTCTGGCAACCACAAAACCCAGACACGTCCATTAGATTGCCAGACAGAGAAGCATAATCCGTCACTCCAGAGAACACATCTCCACTGCTCTAGAGTCCAGTGGTGGTGTGCTTTACACCACTGCAACGCTTTGCATTACACTTGGTTATGTAAGGCCTAGATGCAGCTGCTTGGCCATGGAAACCCATTCCATGAAGCTCTCTATGCACTGTTGTTGTGCTAACCTGAAGGCCACATGAAGTTTGGAGGTCTTTAGCTATTGACTCTGCAGACATTTGGAGACTTTTGCCCACTGTGTATGCGCTGAGCCCGCTCTGTCATTTTACATGGCTTATTACTTTGTGACTGAGTTGCTGTTGTTCCCAGTTGCTTCCACTTTGTGATAATACCGCTAACAGTTGACCGTGGAATATTTAGTAGCAAGGAAATTTCACAGATGGACTTATTGCACAGGAGGCAACCTGTCACGATACCATGCTTGAATTCACTGAGCTCCTGAGAGCGACCCATTCTTTCACAAAGGTTTGTAGAAGCAGTCTGCATGCCTAGGTGCTTGATTTTATACACCTGTGGCCATGGAGGCCATGGAGGTGATTGGAACACCTGAATCCAATGGTTTGAAGGGGTGTCCCAATATGTTTGGCAATATAATGTATCTCCAAAATCAACTACTAGGAAAATCAACTGAGAAAACTCAATCTGAACTGTGGAATGGAAAAGCCCTGAATTTGAACCATCTAAACATTTTTGGAACAAAACCTATGTGCAAGATCCCCCCCCCCCCCCGCACCTCCAAAAAAAACATACCAAATGGAATGCTTGTGCAAAGGAAGGTGTACTTGCGGGGTACAGTGAATCTTAAAACGGATACAGAATTTTATACCAAGACACACAAACGCTTAAAAATTAGGGAAATTTTACATCAGTGTCACATGGAGATAGGCAACAAAGTGACACAGATATAGAAATTAATGCAAACAATCTAAACACTGAAAAAGAAGAAACTAGGCTACAAAAGTCTTCAATCAGGAAATCCACCAGAAGCAATAAAGGCATCCCAGCCAAACGTCTGTCCTATTTTTCTTGTGTAGCATTAAAACCAAAGCCAGATTTATGGGATGAGATGCAAAGACTTCGAACCCATGAGGAACAAAAATGGACCAGATGCTTTGACAAAACTGTTTACAAGAATCAGATTTATAGAACTGAAATTCGAAATGGGACTAATATAAGGAGTAGTTGTTAAGTGGGGATGCTGGGATACATTGTTCATGTATTTGTTTGCAACAACTACTGTACTTCAGTATGAGTATTCAGTAAAGATATATTCTTCAACCAGTAAATGGCAGTATTTATAAATTTGTAAATACATCTGGGATAGAACTCTATGCCTTTTCTTTATAATAAAGTTCCTGTTTATCAGAAAAGCAGCAGAGAAACACATATGGGATATGCACTTTTTCTGTTCTTTTCTGTTCCCATACAGCATAGCAGCGTTAGGACTGTTCAGATTGGTTGCAGAGCAGCCTGGGTAAAGGAGCCCTGCCCACTGCAACTGACCACTAGGTAGTGTGCTGTTAGAGACACTGTATATCCAATCCAACAGCAAACCAAAGAGACAGAAAACCAAAGAACTGTATAATTTTTTCCTCTGCCGTGCAACAGCACATGCCCCCTTAAAGGGCAAGGATGAAAACCTGGCTACGCATTCATGGGGTTGTACCCCAATAACATAAAGGATTTTTGCTGCTGTTTTTTGAATGCACAACATTATATTGTACTACAAATACATTTTATATTGTATATATTGTATATGGGCAGCACAGTGGCTAAATGGTTAGCACTTCCTCCCTGGCAGTACTAGGGTCATTGGTTCGAATCCCAGCCACGGCACCACCTGCCTGGAGTTTGTATGTTCTTACTGTGCCTGCGTGGGTTTTTTCCAGATACTCTGGTTTCCTCCCACACTCCAAAGACATGCTGGTAGGTTAATTGGATCCTGTCTAAATTGGCCCTAATATGTGTATGAATGTAAGTTAGGGACCTTAGATTGTACACCCCCTGAGGGTTAGGGACTGATGTGAATGTACAATATATATATGTGTAAAGCGCTGTGTAAATTGACGGCGCTATATAAGTACCTGAAATAAATAAATATATTGATCTGAACATTTTTCTGCAATTAATGATATTATGCAAATTATCCTGCTTGGTTAACAGTGTGACATTATTCTTTACACCCTTACCATTCCTGAGGTGCAAATCATTATTGTGGAAGGTTTTGGCTGCAATAAGGTTCTTTGGGTGCACAACATTATGTTATACTACATCTAAATTTTATGTTAGCCAGGGCAGTTTTATGAAAATATTGAGATTATGCAATTTATCTTAAGCTTGTTCAACCCCAACCTTACACTTTTACCATTCTTGGGGTTATATAGTTACATAGTTAGTTTGGCTGAAAAAAGACAAAAGTCCATACAGGTTAACCATAAAAAAAAAAAGTTATAATCCTACAACCACAGTTGATCCAGAGGAAGGCAAAAAAAACAACAAAACATGATCCAATTTGCTTCTACAGGGCAAAAAAAATCCTTTCTGATCCCCTGAAAGGCAAATCGGATATTCCCTGGATCAACTTTACCTATAAATGTTAGTATCCAGTTACCGTATTTTTCGCTCCATAAGACGCACCTGACCATAAGACGCACCTAGGTTTTAGAGGAGAAAAACAAGAAAAAAAATATTCTGAACCAATGGACTGCAGACACAGTACAGGGGATGACCAGAGACTGCGGACACAATACGGGAGATGACCAGAGACTGCGGACACAGTACGGGAGATGACCAGAGACTGCGGACACAGTACGGGAGATGACCAGAGACTGCGGACACAGTGCGGGAGATGACCAGAGACTGCGGACACAGTGCGGGAGATGACCAGAGACTGCGGACACAGTGCGGGAGATGACCAGAGACTGCGGACACAGTGCGGGAGATGACCAGAGACTGCGGACACAGTGCGGGAGATGACCAGAGACTGCGGACACAGTGCGGGAGATGACCAGAGACTGCGGACACAGTGCGGGGCATGACCAGAGACTGCAGACAGTGCAGGGGATGACCAGAGACTGCAGACAGTGCAGGGATGACCAGAGACTGCAGACAGTGCAGGGGGATGACCAGAGACTGCAGACAGTGCAGGGGATGACCAGAGACTGCAGACAGTGCAGGGGATGACCAGAGATTGCAGACAGTGCAGGGGATGACCAGAGACTGCAGACAGTGCAGGGGGGATGACCAGAGACTGCAGACAGTGCAGGGGATGGCCAGAGACTGCAGACAGTGCAGGGGATGGCCAGAGACTGCAGACAGTGCAGGGGATGACCAGAGACTGCAGACAGTGCAGGGGATGGCCAGAGACTGCAGACAGTGCAGGGGATGGCCAGAGACTGCAGACAGTGCAGGGGATGGCCAGAGACTGCAGACAGTGCAGGGGATGGCCAGAGACTGCAGACAGTGCAGGGGATGGCCAGAGACTGCAGACAGTGCAGGGGATGGCCAGAGACTGCAGACAGTGCAGGGGATGGCCAGAGACTGCAGACAGTGCAGGGGATGGCCAGAGACTGCAGACAGTGCAGGGGATGGCCAGAGACTGCAGACAGTGCAGGGGATGGCCAGAGACTGCAGACAGTGCAGGGGATGACCAGAGACTGCAGACAGTGCAGGGGATGGCCAGAGACTGCAGACAGTGCAGGGGATGGCCAGAGACTGCAGACAGTGCAGGGGATGGCCAGAGACTGCAGACAGTGCAGGGGATGACCAGAGACTGCTGACCTTTGGGGAGGGAGGGGGAGCAGGTACCTGAATTTGACAGGTACCCGCTCCCACTTCCGCGGAGTTGTCCTTCCCTCTTCTTCCCGGGCCGACTTCTGTGACAGCCGGGTGCCCACTGCGCATGTGCGAGAAGCGCTGCGCTTTGTGAATGGCCCGGCGCTTTCTGGGACCTGTCATGTGTCCCAGAAGACACCGGATCATTCACAAAGCGCAGCACATGTGCAGTGGGCACCCGGCTGTCACAGAAGCCAGCGCGGGAAGACTGTGCAGCGCTGGAGCGAGGAACAGGTAAGGCCCTGCAGGACAGAACAGCTGAGCGGCCGGCCCGGTACTCTGACATGGTGGCGGCAGAAATACCGGACCGGCCGCTTTATATTCGCTCCATAAGACGCACTGACATTTTCCCCCCTTTTTTTGGGGGAAAAAAGTGCGTCTTATGGAGCGAAAAATACGGTATATTCTGTGTATCCAAGAAAGAATCCAGGCCTTTTTTAAAGCAATCCACTGAGCTGGCCCGAACCAACTCATGAGGGAGTCTATTCCACATTCTCACAGCTCTTACTGTGAAGAAACATTTCCATATTTGGAGATTAAATGTCTTTTCCTCCAGATGTAAAGAGTGCCCCCTTGTCCTCTGATGACCTCAAGGTGAATAACTCTACCCCAAGTTCACTATATGGACCACTGATGTATTTATACATGTTGATCATATCCCCCATTAATCTCCTCTTCACAAGAGAGAATAAATTCAGTTCCTCTAATCTTTCCTCATAGCTGAGCTCCTCCCATGCCTCTTATCAGTTTGGTTGCCCTTCTCTGCACTTTCTCCAGTTCCCCATTGTTCTTTTTGTGAATTGGTGACCAAAACTGAACTGCATATTCCAGATGAGGTCTTACTAATGATTTTTTCAGGGGGGAAATTATATCTCTGGAGTCTATACCTCTTTTAATACAAAACAGTATTTTGCTCACTTTAGAAACCACAGCTTGGCATTGCATGCCATTATTAAGCTTATGATCTACCAGAACTCCCAGATCCTTCTCCACATTGATTCCCCCAGTTGTACCCCCCCCCTAGTATGTATGATGCATGCATAGTCTTGGCCCCCAAGTGCATAACCTTACATTTATCAACATTAAACCTCATTTGCCACATAGTTGCCCAATTAAACAGTGCATTGAGGTTGGCTTGTAAGTTGGAGACATCCTGTAAGGATGTTATTCTACTGCACAGCTTGGTGTCATCTGCAAAGACTGAAATGGGATTTTTAATTTCGGACCCTATATCGTTTATAAGTATATTAAATATAAGGGCCCAACACTGAACCTTGGGGTTCACCACTAACAACCCTAGACCATTCAGAGTATGAATCATTAACCACTACTTTCTGAATACAATCTTTTAGCCAGTTTTCTATCCATTTACATACAGATTTTTCCAGGCCTGCAGACTTTACGTTTCACATTAGCCGTGTGTGGGGAACTGTGTCAAATGCTTTTGCAAAATCCAAGTTTACCACGTCCATGTCCATCCCCAATAACAGGTAAAGAGTTTTGGCTACAAAATATTTCTTTGGAAGCTCAACATTATATTGTATTCAATCTACATT